GTAATCGCCCTCATTGCCAGCGATATCTTCAGTCATTACGGCGCCGATGTCGTGACAGGGTGTATGTAGGTATGTGAGATTGTTTGTCGCACCCTGGTCAGCGCGGAGATAGTGGCCGTAGCACCGAAGGAAGGACGCCAGGAGGCTGGATCGTCTCAAGGAGACTGGGCGGCGGCGAGTAACGGGCTTCCTAGCACAGGCATAGGGGCAGCCGCGTGTAACAAAGCGCGAGAGAGAGGAAAGGCTGAAGGCGCCTCTGGGGCTAGTGGGCGGAGTGACGGCGGGAGACGTTAGGAAGAACGCTTGCAGAACAGAGTAGAGTACGGTCGATGGGCACTCGAAGTGGGGATTGAACGACGAGGCGTAGAGGCGGGCAGATCAGTTCTAGACCAGACAATCGATTAGCGCACAGAGGGCAAAGGAGCTTCTGCCAGCTGCCGAGGCTGCAGTGCGTCGAGGATTTTCTCAGCAGTCGCCTGCCTAAAAGATGCTGCTATTGTGTGTACTTTGTGTGTATCGGCACATAGGCAGGTCAAGAGCAGGGCAGTCAAAGCAGCACCAGCGATTCTAGAACGCCATCTTCACCCCGACCGCCCTCCTGGCGCAACGAGAATGACGCAACTCTGCATATTAACCCAATAGGCGCCAGGACAGTGCACGACCAGCGCCGGCCATGGCCTTCTCTCCGGGCCTGGCCATTCGAGTTTTGCAAAATCAACATGTTGGCAGAAGGGTTTGCCATGCAGAAACGTGCGCCGGGCCCGTCATGGCCTTAGCGATCAAGCGATCATCGCCGGAACCCTGCACTGGGTTCTCGCGGCTCGCGCACATCTTCAACTTGGATCACCCCGACTACACGTGTCAAATCCCACTGATTGCAGATCGGTTTCGTCTGCTTGGGATGCAATCCCTGCATGCATGCATGCATGTACTTGTATTACTTATATCATCAGCGCAACCCACTATGGTTGATAGAGGGGCTACTAACCAAGGACTGCGTGATCTACCATTAGAGAAGGTATAGTATGTCCAGCTGTCTTACCATAGAGTATGGCCATTCATATCGAATTTACATCGAGATCGAGCAGCAGTTTTGTTTATCATGATCAGATTTCTTTTTTGCCATGTTGCAGTGCACAGTCAGGCATACTTGCTGGATACTCTCTGGTGCATGTCCTATAGTGTGATCACGAGAGCTGTATACATCCACGCGACATAATAGCTACACATGTTTTTTTTTGTTTGGTGATCTGACGTGTCCGCAAGCGTGCAGAACAATCGTGGAAATGCGACCCAGTACTATTTCGCGGATCGGACATGGATGCTTACATAATCCAAAGACCTATGATGCTTGACCCTGGCGAACGACAACTGTCTTTCTCACATGCAGCCCCAGCAACACCACCGCTCTAATCCTCGTTCCTAGTGTTGCTTTTACAAACGTCACACCAATCGGCAAGGCCACTCAAATCAGACCTTAAATATGTTTTTCTTCGGGCTAGGAGGGCTGTTCTATGGTATTCCTTGTGAAGTCGCATTAGACAGACCAAGTCGCTAACACGTCTAGTTGCTGTACTCCTCATCAATGCAATCGCCATCCTCTCCGAAGACCGCTTTCTCGCACGCAGTACGTTTGATCTGATTCGATGCCCTCCGTCCCTCGTTATATCCTCCCGCACGCGCATCGGCTATATCAGTTTATTTGGGACAAACGTATGCTGACTATAGACAGTTGGCTGGACAGCGTCGGCAGATCCTGGCTTTCCTGGCCAACGCGATGACTCGAGCGTCAAGGCACGACTGATCAACCTCGTCTCCTCAGTACGAACATTGATGCGGAGTATGTCTACACCTCCGTCAGCCGCTGGCAGCCACGCTCCCCACAAGAAACACTCATGGTTTCCCTGGAAAATGTTTAGGACATATAAACTGACCTCCATGCAGTACCGTTAATGTTCATCAACACCCTTATGATAATATACCTTATCGTTCTCGGATGATCGTTGCATACATGGAGCCGGAGGAAGTTCAGACTTCTATAACGGGCATAATCACAATATTCATAGAACGAGATTACAAAACGCCTTGACAGCGCCGTTGCCAGGGTATGAATACCTAAAAGCGCTTCGGGGGGTTCCCATGAGTCCAACTGAAGCGGCCGTGTTGGCGGATTTGCACCATACTTAGCAAGGCGTTGGGGGTTATGGGACTCGGCCGCTCGCACGTAAAGCGTTTGTGCCGCGGAATCTGCCACGACTGTGGATTATGGTTTCGAATGTACAAAATTAGAAGTACGGATTGTCTAGTATTTTAGCCAATATGTATACAAATGGGCAAGAACACTCATACATGTTGTTTACTAGTGAGGCAGATTTAGACATGTAGCAGGGAGACCAGATCACCAATGCGAACATCCAGAGGAATTTAATGTAATTACTAGAATGCTCTATCGATGCGTATCGAGATCACAACTCCGTGCTTCAGTTTTTTGTTAAACTAATCTTTACTTTTGTCATCATCAACACGCTTTCCAAATCCTTTTTTTAATAAAAGAAAATACACACCACAGTTTTATTTCTTACCTTGCGCCGCACTATGTTACAACCTCGCCTGCCCTCCGACCTCCAGCAAATTCTCAACCGTCGTCTTCCACAACTCCGCCCTCTCTTCACTAATAGCATTCAAATCGTAACTCACTCCAAAAGTCACAATGCCCTCCGCATTAGTCAAACTTCCCACCAAAAACTCATTCTCCCTCGCCCTAACCCCAATATTCACATGTCGGAAATCTGCTGCAAAATCTCTGTCCCCCAGATCTTGAAGATCATAAGTGCCCCTTTTGAAAAATGCCGCGAGAGACCCTACAGAGGAAACACCGCACGTCGCTCTGATTCCCGCCATCTTGGGCGGAAGCGAGCCTTGTGGACTGCTGTAAAATGAGGAGCGTCGTTCAGGCGGCAATTTACCTCGGACAATCTCGATTTGCGCAATATATCCCGTTGCAAGAAGGCGGGCTGGAGAGTGCTTATCTAGTATACCCACTGTGTCTGCCGTACCCTTGTCCTTGAGTCGCTTCTGATAGCCCTTTAGTTCGCGGTTTGCGTGCTTGGCTACTAATTTGAATCTGCCTTCAATGGGCAGTTCCGAGGATAGGAAGGGCATGACAATGCCTTCGCTGAAAGCCAGCATACATGATTCCGGGGGTGGAGGGTTGACGAACCAGGCGCGTGGGTTTAGTGGGAAGGATGCTGTGAAGGGGGGATGTTGGGATGAGGGGTTGAGGGATTCGTGAATCGACATCATGGCTAGACCTGCGAGAGCAAAGCAACCGGCGCCTATGGAGACTTTTGCGGAACGGCAGAGCGATATGAGGCGGGAGGATGCCGAGGCAGAGAGTGCAGCGTTGATGTGGCCGCATGACATTGGGGGTCGCGATGAAGCACTGTAGTCAAAGATCTTGTCAAATTTTGGCTCCAACGGTAGTGGCGCTTCCAGTCTCCGTTCGCGACGAAGTGGATTCGTAAATGTCGGTGGTAGGCCTTTGTGTACATGGCGTAACACGCGGATCAAGGCCCAGAACCAGCGTTGCCTTGCTCTGTTCCCGACAGCAGGTGGATACAGGTCTTCTTGGGCTGCTGGTAGAATGGCCTCTATTTTATCTGCTTTTCGGAATACTTCGATGTCCGCTAAGATTTCGTGAGGCGGCTGATTCAAAATGCGATTGAAGTGACTGAACCAGTTGTACGCCGACAAACCATCGGATATCTGGTGTGCAATTACAATAAGAAGGCGGAGGGAGAATGTCCCGTCAGGAAGGCGTGTAATGGGCAGAACGTGTATTTTCGACAGACATTTCCTGGGCTCTATGATTCTGGTCACGTTGAAGGCGTGGCGGTAGATTTCTTTGTTGTTGACGTCGTCATATGCATCTTCGATCCAAACGATGTTGTCCTTGACAGCTTGGATAGCGGTATCCTGTGTAGAAGGGATGTCTACTGCGAAGCCACGCATTCCTGTATCCGGGTCGTTATGAACGCGTGCCAGAAGGAGAGGGTGCTGTAGGCGAAGGGAAGTCCATGCCAAGGCTATCCTATGCCGCAGTTCATCTTTTGAGAGTTTGTGCTGAATGGCCAAGGTAAAGAAACTAGTCATATCTGCGAGAAAGTCAGTTGATATTATGATGAATTTCGTTCTGGAATACTGCTGAGAGTATTCCGCATAGCTTGGACAGAGCAAAACGAGGTTGGGGGTTGCACAGAAAGCTCACATACATACCTGCCCGACCGCCATAGTATGTGCCATCAGCGTCGAAAGAGGTTTCCACTAGTCCCAGGGGACGCTGAAACACCTGATTTCTACTGGGGGCAATTGATAACTTCCAAGCAGCATGGTTATTTGCATACTTGTCTAACCAATGGCCCTGCTGTTGTTGCCGCGCCATCGCGCCTCTGGTTTTCTCTTCTTAGAACGGCGAATTGAATACTGCTATTCGCCAGTCGATATACAGTGATTGCAATGAGTAAGCTGGACAAGGGGCGTGGAAATGGATGGACGTGAACGTTCTTGTACAGACTGAACATATGTACATATAACCGAAGTGCAAGGAAGCGGGTCGGTTTACTTATTGCGGTATACTTTTCGGCCTGGCCGGTACGAGTCATGAAAGGTTTAGCGTCATCATGACAGCTGGCGAACAAACTGTATCTGGTCTTGGAGTGCTTCACTACACTTTGACTATGTGAGTCCAGTATAGTATATATTGGTTACGAGCCGCAAGAAACGCATGTTTTATAATACAAATAGTGCAAAAATACCCCCTTATGGTTTCTTGCAGAGGAAATAGACGAAAACGCAGAAAAAAATCTCGTCTTGAATTAAATACCAATTTTTCACCCACGCATTTTTCTGTACAAGTCGGGTATCGCTAAAGCAGTTGTCACATCCTTGGCCAGCATCTTCATCCTCACATATAGAGGTTTTGCAGTGTTTGGGCCTGTCCTCTAGACCACATCCTCCATCTCATCTTCACCCTCTGAATCTCCATCACCCGGACCCTCTGGAGCTGCTGCCTCGGCTTGTTTACTGGTATCACGTTGATTTTCAAAAACGGCTTGGCGCTTCCAGTTACTTGCAAAGGGTCCAGACTTGACAAGGAGTGCAATGTCGCCAAGCACCTCTTTGAGGTATTGCTCAGGCTGCTTGGTGCGCTGCTTGATAGCCTTCATAGGCCAGTACTGATACTCGTCGAATAGAGTATGCAAGAAATCGATGAGATCCGACCTGGCCATACGAGCAGCCTTGTTCTGTTGCGATTTTCCTTTGGTCATAGGCCTGATGAAGTTCTTGAATCGGTTGTTGAGCATAATGGAATTGTTGACATCTGAGACTTCGGTGTCCTTGGTAATTATGGTGGTCATGTGCGAGCCTTGAATGGCTTGCTTGATACGTGCGGCGCTAAAGTCTTTGTATTCCTTTGTTTCCAAAGGATTGGCATTGTACTGTCGCGTCGCGTGGCCAATAAGAGCGGTCTGCTTAGGAATGGCCTTTTTGTACTTGCTTCGCTTTTGGATGCGCGCCTTGGGATCTTGCACGCCACCGAAGCTCCCCTGGTTGCCTCCTCTTCCGTAGCTATGACCCCGAAATCCTGGTAAATCCTTCTCTGTAAAAACATATGTGTTTCCGAGTATTGTGTCGGTGGCTGGCGCGGGATCAAGCTGGAAGGCAGAGGGCAGATTCGACTTTGCGCGCCAGCGGTCGTTGAGGAAGACACGCATAGGCTTCGTTTTATCGATACCGCTGGTTGTCGCAAACCCGTAAACCTCTCCGATTTGTATCTGGTCATTGTCGTTTCCATCGGCGAGATCATCCCATTTTGAAACTGCTTCATACAGCCACGGCGGGATGCGCGTGAGCCAGATATCCTTCTCTGAACTATCCTTGCTCATGATCATCTCGCCAGTATCCTCGTAAAACTCATCGTCCATAAAACCGCCGCCTGGAGTAGATGCATCTGGGTCCATCTTGACATCGGGGTCTGCCTTGATGCCGTTCATGGCGACGTGTGAGAGAGACTGTGGCAATACTGGGTAGCGAGCGGGTGCTTGACTTTCCGGGCAGAGGTAGAGACCGTGATGTTGTTGGAAAAGGGAAAGAATAAAGACGTGGCACAAGGGCGACGAAGGGAGGGTTAGGTGTAGGTGCAATGATGAAAGGCAGCAGGCTGCCCATTGTTGGTTGTTCCCGGCGCGCGCTCGCATTAGCGTGCCAAGGCCGTTATCGATAATGCGGAGCTGTCGCGCAGCCTCGCGCTTGCCCCAGCTGCCCCACGTCTGTTGCCTATCGCTCACACTGTGAGCGTAATCTTGACCTTCTCTCGTGAGACTATTGAACAGATTCTCTCATATCGGTTTGTATTATTCGAATCAAACTCGGAAACCAACCGCCCATCCACGGTCAAGTGAACCAACCCCCCGCAATAGTTTACGTTTGCCCCTCCCAAACCATGGCTTCGCAAGCTGTCACCACTGCTTTACAGGAGATTGAGACGGCGCCTGTTAGCGACAAGCCTTCCCAATACACCGCTCTCCTCCAACAGATCATCGATTCTTCGGCCAATGTGGCTGCCGACCTAAAAGCATATGCACAAACTCTGCTCGACGACTCACTCGGCATAGTCGTGCTCCGACCTCTTCTTGCTGCCTTTGTGGACGCCTTCCGGACACTCAAAGACCCAGATGCCAAGATAGAGATTGGTGAAAGGGTTGTTACATTACTACAGTCTAAGGGTGCGGGGCAATATGAAGAGCAGGATACCCAGATCAAACAAGCACTCGCAGATGCTTTCGAAGAGAACGAGGATTACAGGCGGTCTGCACAGACACTAGCTACCATCAATCTAGAGTCCACCCAGAAGTCCGTCACTCCTGACGAAAAGGCCAAAGTATGGATCCGCATAGTGCGGTGCTACCTGGAAGAGGACGACCCAACGAGCGCATACACACATCTTAACAAGATCAAAAACATCATCTTCAGTGTCCAAGATAAGGCGACCAAGGTTATGTTCCACCTTAGTCAAGCTCGTATTCTTGATTCACAACGCTCCTTCCTGGACGCTGCACAAGCCTACTACGGCATAAGCAATGAGCCACTGGTGGATAGTGAGGAGCGAGATGGTTTCCTGGGACGGGCCATCATCTGTACAGTCCTTGCACCAGCAGGTCCTCAGCGAGGAAAGATGTTGGCAAAGCTATACAAAGATGACCGAGCCAGTTCTGCGGACGACTTCGCAATCCTCGAGAAGATCTTCTTGAACCGTCTGCTTACGCCTGCCGAAATTAAAGCCTTCTCTGCAAAGCTGGATCCGCACCACCTTGCACGAGGCTCAGACGGCTTGACAGTATTGGATAAGGCAATTCTCGAACACAATCTAGTCGGCGCATCAAAATTATACAACAACATCGGATTCGACCAGCTTGGCGAGCTGTTGGGTATCGACGCAGAAAAGGCCGAAGACTACGCAGCCAAGATGCTGGAGCAAGGCCGTCTTGCCGGATACATTGATCAAATCGACCGTTATGTCTTCTTCGAGGGAGAGGCAAGTGGAGAGCGCAAGACGGGCCATGCAGAGCGAGTAGTGGGCAAGGAACTGCGCAAATGGGATGCCAACGTGACTGGACTGGCAGAGGAGGTAGAAAAGGTCACATCGATGATCCAGAATCAATATCCAGACTTCTATGCGTCGCAGGTGGTGCATTAGAAGCAGCGGTCTAGCGAATAGCGAGCTTAGTTAGAGGTTATTGAAGCATAATTGGCGTACGGAGATCACACAATACCCAACTGTAAAACTAGTTACAATACAGAGCATAGCATTGAGACTTATCAAGTGCGAAACTTGTGTATCTTCTTGTCCTGAACGGCACTAATCTAGTTTCACACATGTCGTTTTGCTTACCCAGCATTCCGGGGTAAGTCAAAAAGTACAGAAAGCCCTCTGGGTGTGTGCATTCCAAGGATTTCTCTATTGAGACGGTTGCTATGAATTCGGTCGAGTTGACTATCGATACATGTACATAATCAAGGATTCGTCGTCAAGGTATTGTGACCTTGCATCTTTCAATGCGTAACCCTCCCCTCATACCACTATCGTACACTTTGTTCTCCGCCCTCTTGCGCCAACGCTGACTCATACTCCTCCAGACTCCTAACCTCCAACTCACTAATCTTCAACACTGTAAAGTGCAATTTGCTCTTAACATGCTTGACATGTCTTCGCCGCCTCTTGGTCTTTTCCTCAACCCGCAATGGCTCGCTCTCGACGCCCACAACGCGCGCTCTGCAAGTGAATAACCGTTCATCCAAATAATATACTTTCTTCCCGTGGTCCGAGGTCCCCTTGACGGCCTCTGGCGCTTTTAATGTGTAGTCTCGTGAGCCAATGTGTGTGGCGCGGTTGAGACGCAGGATATCACCGGGACGGACGTTTGGCATCTGGAAGGGAAGGCGAAGGGTGTCGCCGCGAGTGAGGAGATAGGGGCGCCCGTGGAGATGTGCGGTTATGTAGTGGGCTGGTTGCATTTGCAGGAGCGGGAGGAGTGTTCGGATGGAGGGTGTGAGTGTTGTCGAGACAATGTCTGATCGAGCATGTGGCGATGCTTTGATGTTTTCAGAGGTAGCAGGTTTAGGAGCATTTTTTGGAAGAGGCTGAGGTGCCTTAGAGCGCTCCTTGGCTTCCTGTGATATGCGGTGGCCGGATTGGATGAGCGGCTCTGGTGTATTTGATGCGTCGAGGTTGTGCGATATTGTTGTTACTCCTGCGCGGAAAATCGTGGGCTGTATTATCGACCTGGACTCGAAGAGAGCATTGCGGGCAGTACGAGCGAGCAGCGCCATTGTTGTGTTTTGTGCGGGTCGCAATGGCTGGCAGACTGCCGGGGGTTTGGATAGATTCTGGGTGGTTGCGGAGGTCCGATGTTGAAGATTCCCGCATGGCTGCGCGCTAGTGGGGGCTAGCGCCGATTTTTTTGGAGAGGCAAGTTGCGCTCGCTGTTGTAGGGCGACTTACTCCACTCCACCACTACCCTACCACACCTAGCACAGAGAGGTAGTCGCCATGCCTCAGAACGAGTACATTGAGCGCTTTACGAAGCAGTACGTTTGTGCCCACTGCCCATGCCGCTACCCAACCTGCAGACGCTTTGCGCATCGCAAATACCGAGGCTGCACCACCTGGCAAATGAAGAATCTGGCTAACAGCCCCATCCTAGGCACGGAAAGCGCTTCGATCACGATGAACGCCAACGAAAGAAGGAAGCCCGTGAGGGTCACAATGCGTCCAAGAAGGCCCAGAACCTGCGTGGATTGAGGGCGAAGCAATATGCCGAGAAGCGTAGGAAGGAGAAGATTCAGATGAAGCAGAAGATTCGCGCCCACGAGGAGCGAAATGTCAAGTCGAACGAAGCTCCCGAGCCCGCTACCGAGGCGCTACCTTCCTACCTGTTGGACCGTTCCAACGAAAAGAATGCCAAGGCTTTGTCTTCTGCCATTAAGCAAAAGCGTTAGTAGACCAGGTGCATTGATTCTCTGCACGTGCTGACGCTATGTTCTAGGGAATGAGAAGGCTGCCAGGTTCTCTGTACCGCTTCCAAAGGTCAAGGGCATCTCCGAGGAGGAGGTAAGGAGCACCATTTGCATCATTTTTTTGAAAGACATGCGCTAACTTTGTACTTATCTAGATGTTCAGTGTCGTCAAGACGGGTAAGAAGACTAAGAAGAAGTCTTGGAAGAGAATGATTACCAAGCCTACTTTCGTCGGTCCTGGCTTCACTCGTCGACCTGTCAAATACGAGGTTTGTACAGCTACAGCTTAACGCACAAAACGCATACTGACACTGGATCCAGCGCTTCATCAGGCCTATGGGATTGCGTTACAAGAAGGCGAACGTCACGCACCCTGAACTCAATGTAACAGTCCAACTGCCGATTATGTATGTCATTTCGAAACCGCGTAAACGGAAGATAGCATGCTAACACCTGGACAGCTCAGTCAAGAAGAACCCACAGCAGCCATTGTACACTCAGTTGGGTGTGGTATGTTTTCCCAGACTCCTATTCGCGAGATACTTCATACTAACTATTACCAGTTGACAAAGGGTACCATCATTGAAGTAAACGTCTCCGAACTCGGACTTGTGACTGCCGGAGGAAAGGTCGTTTGGGGTCGCTATGCTCAGTACGTTGATACCTCATGAATTGATATTTGCCCACGGGATCAAACGGCTAACACTTGCACCAACAGAATCACCAACAACCCCGAAAACGACGGGTGCTTGAATGCCGTTTTGCTCGTCTAAGGCTCTACTCCAAATAGCGGAACTGTGCATTTGATGGCGTTGAGGTTTTTGGTCCTATGATTCGAAGGCGTTGAGGCGATCACACTAACAGTCTTTTTGGAAAGGATATAAAGGAAAAATTTTGCTAGGCAAAGGCTGGGGTGAACGATGCCGATGATGCAAGGATATGTTGAAAGGGGGGAAGTCGGGTAGAAGAGAAAGAGAAGGGAAAAACTCGCAAAATTTAATTCGTAACATGAAATGCACAAAGGAAAACAAGCCGATATATCACATCGGAGATAGCACAGCACGTCCTCCACCTTTTGATATGACATGTGTGTGTATACGAGCAATGGAATGAGAAGCCTTGAGGAGAAAAAAAAATTGGCCGATTTGTTCAAAGCGAACAGAAAAGTTAGAAAGAAAAAGAAAAGAGGTCTAAATGTGATTCAAAATGCCCCTAAATGCCCATCGTGGTATCATCCACCCCTATGTCTTTTTTCATCCCAAATGTCATTTGCCTTTGCATATAACTCGAATGAAAAAAAATGAAAATGAAAAAAAAAGCTGAAAGAGAATCGATCAAACAGCATTGAACGGGTTTGCGAAGGAAAGGGGAGGGAAAAGGAAGAGGAAGAAAACAAGGAAGAAAACAACAACAACAAAGGTGTAGATAATCCTCCTCCTTTTTCTTCCTTGATAACTTTCCCCGCCTCCAGCAAACC